AAAAAAAAAAAAAAAAAAAAAAAAAAAAAATAAAGTTGAAAAATAAAATAAAATTCTAACCCCCAACTGACTGAACAGACTTCCTCTTGGCCAAGGGAACCTCAGAGAAACCTTGAAAGTGAGTTCCAGCCAAAACAGATGGGAGGTAGTGTCAGAGGTGTGTGAACCAGAGCAACTACATCTTGAGTAGGGACTAGGTAAAATGCGGCTGAAACCTACTGGGCTGCATTCCCAGATGGTTATGGCTTTCCAAGTCACAGGATGAGATAGTAGGTCAGCACAACCTACACATCATAAAGACCTTGCTGATAAAAACAAGTTGCAGTAAAGGAGCTGGCCCAAACCCACCAAAACCAAAATGGTGATGAGAGTGATCTCTGGTTGTCCTCACTGCTACACTCCCACCAGCTCCATGACAGTTTACAAATGCCATGGCAACCTGAGGAAGTTACCCTATATGATCTAAAAAGGGGAAGAAAAATGATCTACTCCTTGTTTAGCATATCAAGAAATAAATAAATAACCATAATAATGGGAAATCAGCAGCCCTTGAGGCTGCTCTGTCTATGGAGTAGACATTTTTTTTATTCCTTTACTCTTAGTAAGCTTGCTTTCACTTTGCAATGCAGACTCACTCTGAAATTTTTTTTTTTTTTTTTTTTTTGAGCCAGAGTCTCACTCTGTTTCCCAGGCTAGGGTACAGTGGCACAATCTTGGCTCACTGCAGCCTCTGTCTCCCAGGTTCAAGCAATTCTCCTGCCTCAGCCTCCTGAGTAGCTGGGATTACAGGTGCACACCACCACCCCTGGCTAATTTTTGTATTTTTAGTAAAGATGGGGTTTCACTATGTTGGCCTGGCTGGTCTCCATAGGTGATCTGCCTGCCTTTACCTCCCAAGGTGCTCAACCACCATGTCCAGCCTGTATTCTTTCTTGTGTGAGATCCAAGAACCCTCTCTTGGGATCTGGATCGAGACCCCTGTCCTGTAACAGTAGGACGTGCCTGGTTATAACTGCCCCTCCCCACCACCACTTTGCTAACTACTATTATTAGGCTTTCTCTCCTAAGAGCTAAACATAAATTAGCCCTTTCAAAAGACTCCACTCCTGATCCCAATCAACCACCCAAATGCTGTCCCTAGGTTTTGTGGGTTTGACACAATACACAACATCAGACCAGCATTCCTTCCTGAAAAGAGACTAGACCGTGCAGTGGTTCTGGCCAGTCTACAGAGGATACATAGAGAGGGTTTTTCCTGTCCTCTGCTTCACCTTTTGATGTCAGAGGGATGCAAATTCCACCCAAAAGTTATACTGATGCTGCCCTTTTTTTTTTTTTTTTT